GATGATAGGGGCTCATTTCCCAGGACAATGCTGGCCAATCATTGTGAGGTTTACAGCAGTACAAATGCCCATCCAACAGGTCCTTTGGGACTGTAAGGGGAGAGGGAGAGTCTTCATTCTATCATCTGTTCCCTCCCTCCCTTTCTTTCTTTCTTTCATTTCCTTCCCTCCTTTTTTTCTCTCTCCCTTCCCTTTCTTCCTCTCCCTCTTTCTCCCCCTCTCCCTCTCTCTTTCCTTTGTGCCAGTACTGGGGCTTGAACTCAGGACCCTACCCTCTCATTTGACTGTTTTGTTCAAAGCTGGCACTCTGTTACCTGAGCCACACTTCCACTTCCAGATTTTTAGTGCTTACTTGGAGATGTGTTTCTCAGATTTGCTTACCCTAACTGCCTTCAAACCATAATCCTTAGACCTTAGCTTCCTGAGTAGCTAGGAATACAGACATGAGCCATACAGTGCCTGGAATGATTTAACTTTTTAAAAAAAAAATGTGCCATGCCCACTTTAACCTTTGTTTTTACATACACATTGCTTTACAGACTTGATGGTTTCCAAGAAGTCCACCCAGTATATGTGTTCTCAGATCTATGGCTATAGTTCCCTTCTACATTTATAAAAACAAGAGCCTAGGCTGAGATCTGAGGATCGCGGTTCAAAGCCAGCCCGGGCAGGAGAGACCGTGAGACTCCTATCTCCAATAAACCACCAGAAAACCGGAAGTGGCGCTGTAGCTCAAGTGGTAGAGCGCTCGCCTTGAGCTGAAGAGCTGAGGGACAGCGCCCAGGCCCAGAGTTCAAGCCCCATGACCGACAAAAAAAAAAAAAAACAAAAAAAAAACAAAAAAACAAGAGCCTGTGCAGCAAACACTGTATACTAAGTATTTCTCTTTATTAATTATATATTTGCTATCTTCAAGTAGTTGTACAAAGGGGTTACCATTCAACAATCAGTTTAAATGTACAGTTCATCATTCCTTACATCATTTTCTCTCATTGTACTACATATATTCCACATGTATTCTTTCAATCTTTGTAGAAATTTCATTTTGAATCCCTGTTTTACATACAGATGAGGAATATGAAGTTCAGCCCTCTCTGGAGTCATGGAGTTACTAAAGGCCAAGCTGGTGTACAAACTGAATTGGGTCAAGGGAATACCCATACCCTTCCCTTCCTGATGCAGCATTCACAGAAAAAGTAAACTGAGAAGCATGAAGTCTATCCCTTTAGTCAAAAACCAACAACTGCCAGGTGCTGCTGGCTCATGTCTGTTATCCTAACTACTCAGGAGGCTGAGATCTGAGGCTCATGGTTGGATGCCAGTTCAGGCAGGAAAACTGGTGAGACTCTTATCTCCAATTAGCTAGCAAAAAGCTGCAGTGGAGCTGTGGCTCAAGTGGTAGAGTGCCAGCCTTGAGCAAAAATGCTAAAGGACAATGCCAAACCCTGAGTTCAAGCACCAGTACCAGCACAAACAAACAAACAATCTCCCCAACACCTCCAACAGCTAACAAGTGGAAGTCAGATCTTCCCTCACAGTTCCAAGTTCCATTATGACTGTCGCTTGTAACTCTGAAGTTCAGAAGCCTAGGCAGGCTCTTCACTGGGGAAGGCCGTGAGTCTATACAGTTACACTTGTCCCTGCTAACTCTGAGTTAACTCCAAGAACTTGGATCAATAATATGTTCTTGTTCTATTTTTTTTTTGGGTCCGAGACCAGGGCTTGAACTCAGTACCTGATGCTTTTGCTCACTGGCTAGCACTCTACCAACTGAGCCATCCTCCAACCTCCACTATGTTCTTTTATGTATCTGTCCATGATGTTTTTGTAGGTCTTGTGTCTTCTCTGTCTCTTTCATTCATCTATGAAATGAAAGTTAACACGATGGACATTTCCAGAACATTCCATGTGTGCCAGAAATACTTCCGTGTGCTCTACCTCTGTGAGTCTAGTAAATCTTTTTTTTTCTTCCATCAGTTGTAGGGCTTGAACTCAGGGCCTGGGCACTGTTCCTTAGCTCTTGGGCTCAAGGCTAGCACTCTACCATTCTGAGCCACAGCTCCACATCTGGTTTTCTGGTGGTTAATTGGATATAAAAGTCTCATGGACTTTCTTGCCTGTGCTGGCTTTGAACCATAATCCTCAGATCTCAGTCTCCTGAGTAGCTAGTATAACAAGAATGAGCCATCAATGCCCAGCTCTACTGAATCTTTAAAAGAATGCTTTAGAGATTTTGCAAAGGGAAGATAGAAGCAAGAGCAGAGGCTGTATAACTTGCAGTAGGCCACAGATAGTGAGCGATGGAACAGAGACTGGACTCAGAGTCCAGAACCACAATCCTTGCTCCACTCATCTACAATTCATTCACTCATTCTCTATTACTTCCCCCACCGCAGAGGGGTGCTGTGACTTACATGGGTAATTTTTCATGGAACACTCAACTATGTATGGCAGGTGGGAGCTGCTTTGGAAGTGTTGGTTCATTAATTAATTAATCTATTTATTCACTTAGTTTTTGGTGCCAGTACTAAGGCTCAAATTCAGGACCTCATCTCATTTTCTTTCTTGACTTTATTTTTTGGTGCAGGTCTTGGGGCTTGAGCCCTGGACCTGGATGCTGGCTCTACCACTTGGGCCACAGAGACACTTGCTTTTTTTTTTTTTTCTTCTGTGATTAAGAGTCTCATGGACTTTCCTATCCTGGGCTGGCTTCAAATTGCAATTTTTAGATCTCAGCCTCCTGAGGAGGTAGGGTCACAGGCATGAACCACCAATGCCAGCCTCTTTCTTGGCTTTTTGGCTCAAAACTGGCACTCTCCTACTTGAGTCACACCTTCATTTCTGTCTTTTGGCTGGTTAATTGAAGATAAATATCTCAGATTTATCAGCTCAGACTGGCTTTGAATCTTGATCTTCAGATCTCAGCTTTCTGACTAGCTAGGATTATAGGCATGAACCACCAGTGCTCAGATTTTTGTTGCTGAGGATGAGCTTAGTGCTAGCTGGGAGGCAAGACTAGCTGGTTCTTCAGAGTAGGGCCTGGGGCTAAAAGATGGCAAGGCCTTTGTTATGAGGGATCAAAGGAGATGGGGGTCACTGGACAGAGAGGGTCAGGATGAGTTATCGGGGAGTGTAGGAATTGAATGATGCTCAGAGAAGGTGATGGATGCTTCAGATATAACTACTCCAGCAAACCCTCACTCTGAGCTTTGCTTCCTCCTATGAGCCTTGAACATACTAGGATGTTTCCTCCTCCCAGGAACTTTATAAGTTGGGTACCATTATTCCTGCCTCTCCTGGGAAACATATCTAAAGAGGGTAGGAAATTTGACTAGGTCACTAGGTCCATGTCTAGTACCATGTAGTGCTGAGATACTCCAGGGGTAACAACTTTAATCTGTTACCATCTTGCCAAATTTGCATCCACACTTGCTTCATGTTTAAATGTGCTTTTGACCTAAATGAATCCAAAACACACAATGTCACTATAGTATAGGATAAAGGATCAGCATGGAGGATGAAGAAATAGCATGAAATAAACATGATTAAAGTGTCTCTAGACTTAGATTTTCTGCTGAGAACTTTGAACTCAAAGGGGAGATGAGTGTGAAGGATTAAAATTATATGGATGACTGGATCAAGGAAAATACTATATATATATATATATACATACATATGTGTATACACAATGGAGTTTTAGTCATCTATCAGGAAGAATGTTATTACATCATTTGCAAAGAAATGGTTGAGCCTGGAAAAAAATTATGTCAAGTGAATTTTCAGGTCCAGAGAGAGAAAAGATGCATGTTTTATTCATATGTAGATGTTATAGCTAATTTATAAGTATATATGTCAACATATACAGGGTTGTATGCACATGTACATAAATAGATTAACTGAAGTGTGGTATATACAGGGAAGTCTCTTTTGAACAATGAACTTACAGTTTAGCAAAATGAATACCAGAAAGGTGGAACTTGAGGTGTTATGGGTACTGAGGTCAAGGGGGGGGGGTTTGGATGGATGAAGAGAGAGAAAGGATAGGTGAACACAGTCATAATATTCAACGTACATATGTAAAAGTGGAACTAGGAAAATTGAGGGGATGGGTGGGGTTGGGAGAGAGGGGGGAGAAAGGTCAAAAAGATGACATTGATCAAGATGTATTGTACTCATAAGCTGACATGTTGAATTGAAACTACTTAAACTAATAAAATGCTAATAATAAAAATGATATAGCATCCAATTGACACCGTATTATTGGTGTAATCAGAACCCAAAGAGAAGTAAAGGTTATGTCACCATGTGATAGAAAGTAACTTAGAGGCTCTAGTAGCCCCCTAAACTTTCCTTGGGGAAACTGCCTGGTCCAGAGCAGGCTCAGACACCAAATAACTTGCTTTGTAGCTTGTTGGCAAACCAGAATTCAGCAGAGGAACCAAGATGGCTTTTGTACTGGTAAAATGCAAATAATAGCTTCTACTACCTTGTAGGGACCTTGATTACACAGGGAAAAAAGTGCAGAAAAATACCAAACCTAAGATGTATCAGATGCTTCATCACTGCAAGCCATTACCACGACCCTTATTAAGGTTTGCACTCAGGTCTCTGGCGTTTTGTGGCTGTTAGATGATGATATAAATAATTTTAGCAAACATATATATTTTATGTTGTAGGTGCCACGCACGTTAGGAACGGTTAGTATCTCATTTAAACTATTATGCTTTGCTCAGATCTCTAGGTCGCCCAAGATGAAGTTTCTTCCCTAAAGCATCTTAATCTGGAACCCCCAAGGCCCTGGCTCTCAGCCTTTGCTGCAACCTTCCTGGGTGCCAAGCCTAGCAAGCACAGGGACTAAGCCCCGCCCTAGGAGCCTAAAACCACGCCCTCCGCAGCTTCGTTCCGTCACTGGGAAACGCCCCCTCCGTTCGCCCCGCCCTCTACGGGACTCCCCTCTGGCCGGCGCGCTGACGTCACAGGCCTGCGCCTCTCGGCGCCTGCGCCCCGGACGGGAAGGTCGTCCCTGTGACCGACTCGGCGGTTGGAGTTGCTGTCGCCATGTTGTCGGTCGCCGCCCGTTCGGGCCCTTTTGCGCCTGTTTTGACGGCCACGGCCCGTGGGGTGGCGGGTGCGTTGCGGCCCCTAGTACAGGCCGTAGTTCCCGCCGCCCCGGAGCCGCCGGTGCTGGACGTGAAGCGGCCCTTCCTGAGTAAGGAGTCGCTGAGCGGCCAGGCCGCGAGCCGGCCTCTGGTCGCCTCCGTGGGCCTCAATGGTGAGCCGGGTCGAGGGGCTTCCTCGGGGCACCCGGGGGGGGGGGTGGTGTGCAGGAACGGCGGGGTACCGAGGCCTGAGAGCTCCTGGGCCTCTGAGGGTCAGAGCATGCGCACACCGCCAAGTTGGCGGGACCCGGTGACGCGGGGGGGCTCTGGGACTCTCGGTGCTGCTGGTCTGAGCCCTCATCCCAGGCCGACCTGTGCCACTCACCAGGAGTCGCCCACCTGTATCTCAGCAGCTAGACCAGTACCGGTGCTTACGGGTAGCTTGACCTTGACCTTACAGGCAAATTCTTAAGTTGATTCCCAGGGATGGTGTGGGGTTTAGAGGACAAAATCTGCACCCAAGCCACTGCTGTAGCTTGGGACACTTAATAAGTGATCCAAAAAAAAAAAAAAAGCAGGCACTGTGATTAGTATTTGGGAACTTCACTTTGTAATCACTGCTGTTTTGCCTCTAGTGATCCCCACCTACACTCTTCTTGGCCCTATCCCCAACCCAGCCCCAAGGTCACATGCAGTGTAGAAGGTGAGGGATGTTTGCAGGCCCCTGGTTAAAGGGTTTGCACACTAAGTAGTTAAGTTCTCAAGGAGAAGAGGCCACACCAAGCACTGGTGGTTCACACCTGTAATCCTAGCTACTCAAGAGACTGAGATCTGAGGATAAGGGTTGGAAGCAGCCCTGGCAGGAAAGCCCAGAAGAGTCTTACCTCCCAGTTAACTAGAAAAGGTGAAGTAGAGTATGGCTTAAGTGGTAGAGTACCAGTTTCAGGCAGAAAGCAGCCAAGGAACAGTGTCTAGGCAATGAGTTAAAGAACCAGTACTGGCACCCTTCCCCTACCCCCCCCCCCCCAAAAAAAAAGAGATTGATAGTGTGTTCTACATGTTAGGATTAGACACTAAGAAACAGGACTCAGAGATCCCCATGCTCTTTCCAGAGGCCAGTTCTCTGTCAGCTAATCCCAATTTATCTTTGGTCTTACCTTACAAATCTTTTTACCTTCTCTAAGTATGATCCTGTGAATGGCTACATGTGGGTGCTTTGCCCCAAAGCTGTTGGTTTAGTATTGAACACTTGTGAAGACTTTGTTATGCCGAACTATAGATATTTGGCCTGCTACACTGGGCTCTGGTTTCTTCATGGGACAAGTCTGTAGTGTACCATGTTTTGACTGCACCCAGTGGTTTTTGGGAGGCCATTCAGATCTCCCTAGGGTGACTTGATAACATTTTGTGCTGCGTGGCCCCAGTAAGAGTTGAGTTTGTGGCCCTGATCACATACCTCTTTAAGGCAGGGCAGTTTCTTAGTCTGCATTCATTCACTTTCTTATGACCCTCCCACTTGACCCTGGCTTACCCATCCTTTCAGTTAAAATACAGGACCTGGTCAATTAGATTTTGAATTCATCTTATGTCTTTGTAGCATAAAGCACTTCCTACTCTGTATTATGTGTTTGTGGGTGAACCGTCTGGCCTTGAGATTTAGGGCATACAAGGTCTCCTTTAGTTTTCTGTGTCCCACAGCATCAGGCTTTGTATATGGTTGGTGCAAAATATTTTGTGAATGAATATATTAAGGAGTTTGAGGATATTTTGGAGAAACAGTCCAGGGCAAGAGTAGAATGAATGCCCTGTTTATTCCTAGTCTTGGGCACAGAAGTGAGAAGGGAGAAAATTTCAGTAGCAAAGGTGGAAAGCATCTCTGAAATTGTCAGCTATCTAAAGGGTTTCTTACAAAAATTAGCAGCTTACCTGCCTTATAGAAATATATTCCCAAACCAGGCAAATAATTTAGAATCTTAATCTTAAGACTAGATCTCTTTTGAATTTACAGAAGTTCACCTTAAAATGTCTGGTCAGGTAGTTAATGGGAAGATGAAAGGGTCTGAGTCTGGAGATTATCCCTGTGTGTATGGGAATATATATCATGATAAGTCTCTTTCAAGGCACATAGAACCCACATTAAAGCTTTTTAAAAGTTGTTAAAAGGCCTCAGATGTTATTTTTGGGTGCTAGTTCCATTAATGTATGCTATTAGTTTATGTTACAACTAAATCTAGCATCTTCTAAAAAAGTCAAACCTAATTGCAGGTTGTATGAGTTAGAGAATGATTTTTGCCACATGACAGTTGACTTTTCTAAAGGTTTCTTGGCCATATAGGTAGACCAATAAAAATTTAACCTGTTAGATAGGATTAGGACAGTTGTATTTCTTTTGTCTATATATTTATTTATTTTTGATGAGAATGCCAGTTATTCTATTTAGTGTTCTTACAATATATTTCCTTTTCTAATACATTTCCTTATGGACTGCTTATGTGGATACATAAGCAGTTTGTGCCTGTGTTTGTGCCTGTCTGTCTGTCCTGGAGCTTTTATGCTCAATGCTGGTGATCACTTATACCACAGCTCAACCTCTGGCCTTTTGGTGGCTAATTGGAGGTAAGAGTCTCATGAACTTTTCTGCCTGAGCTGGCTTGGAATTGCGATCCTCAGATTTCAGCCTCCTGAGTAGCTATTATTAACAGAAGTGAGCCATGAGTTCCCAGCTCTTGTGGATACTTTTTACTGTAGAAATGTGAACTTTATCTTTTAGTCAGGAAACAACACATCTCATGGGTGTGGTAGCAGGCAGTGCCATGGGACCGTAATTGATGTTTGATTCCAGATGCCAGTATGCCATATCAGGTTAACCTGAGTGGTGATACATGATGTAAAGCCACTTTGAGTCCATCTAGCTACAGTTGGGAATCTCAGGGTGCTACTACCCAGGGTCTCAGGCCCCTCTGGAAAATGAAAAAGAACAGTATAGAGAGTGATTTTTTTTGCTGGGTTCTCCCCTTGTTTATGAATATTTATAGTTTCCATAAAGTTATTGGCCTAGGAAATTAGATGAAAAGCAGTGGAACTACTCTTCTGTATTGCAATGTTTGATTCAAAGGATTATATAGTATGAGACAGTGTAGTAGACCAGGATAGAATTGTAATTTATTGCAATGAAGATGCATTGTATAAGTAGATTCTTCTTTTGGAACCAACACATTTTCTAAAACTAAGGAACTTTGTACTGATTTCTTTTCTAAGAAGGAAACCCTGTGGCATATTTCCTAAAATAAATTTATAATTTGCAGTCTTTTGCTCCCTGAACCATATTTAGAAGTGATGCTGGTAAGTTCAGTTTTTGTGAGACATTTGCAAACGTTATGGGAGAGAGAACAGAAGACATGCTGCTTTTTCTAAACTATCCCTGGTCCCTCCAAAAAAATTTATTTCCACAGTATAAATGTAGGCAGTAATTATTTAATTTCTTTGTGACACACTGCCTGTTTTAGGACTTAAAATAGAAATGTCTCATTTAAAGGCCCCACAGTAGCAAAAAAGAAAAGATAATGTTCTTTTATTCTGTTGGTTTTTACCACATTAGATATATGAAGCCTTTCCTTTTTTTAATTACTAAATTTTAGAATTAGCTTTTTTTTTTTTTTTTATCAGTTGTAGGGCTTGGCTTGAACTCTGGGCCTGGGCACTGTCCCTCAATTTCAGCTCAAGATGAGCACTCTACCGCTTGAGCCGCCACAGTGCCAATTTTGGTTTTCTGGTGGGTTATTGGAGATAAGAGTCTCACAGACTTTCCTGCCTAGGCTGGCTTTGAACCTTGGTCCTCAGATATCAGCCTCCTAAGTAGCTAGGATTACAGGCATGAGCCACCTGCATCTGGCTAAGAATTAGTTTTTTAAAATGAAAAAATTTAAAATTATCCTTAAATACTAATACAAAAGGGTTCAGTTCAGCATATCAGTTTACTGCATCTTGATCAGTGTCATCCCTTCTGTGGTCCTCTCCTATCTCTCCCAACTTTACCCATCCTCTCAAGTTACCTGGTTTCATTTTTACAAATGTACATTGAATAATTAGTTCTTTTGCAGAGTTTGTTTTATTTTGGAAGAGTCCTGTTCTGATGAGGATATCCTTCCTTGCCCATTAGTGGTTTTACTTGAAGATAAAGGAACATTAATTTGTACCTTAGAACCTAAAATAGAAATCTTTAACTTTCTGCAACTAAAGTATACTAATGGATGAAAGAATGTATGATCTTGAGTTAGTATTTTTTGTTGTAGTAGTTCTTCCAGAGAGTCTGAAAGTGTTAGCTGTGCTTAGGGATAGAGGGTATATATGGTTTAATAAGGCCAATTATTCAGCAACTTAGCCAGGTACACTTAGCCAGGAATTTTGGTGTTTCTTTCAGTCTGGAGAATGAGAAATGCTTAGCGTGATGCATGGTATATCTTAGCAACTGGATTTTCAGAAAGTGAACTATTGCTGCTTATTGTGCTGTTTGACTTTTAACTTGATGCACTGAGGTGATCAGTCATATTCAGCCAGCTACAGGAGCTTAGTACCAGATACTACCTTTAGTATTATACATGCTAGCAGTGCCTGTATGACATTCTTGAGACACTGAGAAACACATTTCATATCCCCTGCTCCCCTTTTTGTACTGGTACTTGATCTTGAACTCAGGGCCTACGTGCTCTCCCTGAGCTTTTTTTGCTCAAGGCTGACTCTACCACTTGAGCACAGCTCCACTTCTGTTTTTTGGTGTTCAATGGAGATAAGAGTCTCATGGATTTTCTTGCCCCAACTGGCTTTGAGGCGGTTCCTCAGATCTTGTCCTTCCTGAGTATCTAGGATTACAAGCATGAACCACTGGCTCCTGGTTTTACATTTCACATCTGTAGAATTTGGTTTTATACTTATGAATCTGTAGAGTTGGTCTCATGCTGTCAGAAAACCTGGCTAACTGGTTTTTTGGACCCTCTGTTTTTTGTCCTACAGTCCCAGCTTCTGTCCGCTTCTCACACACAGATGTCAAAGTGCCCGACTTCTCTGACTACCGCCGCCCTCAAGTCTTAGACAGCACCAAGTCTTCTAAAGAGAGCAGTGAGGCTAGAAAAGGGTTCTCCTATTTGGTAACTGCAACCACAACAGTGGGCGTCGCCTATGCTGCCAAGAATGCCGTCTCCCAATTTGTCTCCAGCATGAGTGCTTCGGCTGATGTGTTGGCCATGTCCAAGATTGAGATCAAGCTATCTGATATTCCAGAAGGCAAGAACATGGCCTTCAAATGGAGAGGCAAACCCCTATTTGTGCGACATAGAACCAAGAAGGAGATCGACCAGGAAGCTTCAGTGGAAGTGGCCCAGTTGCGGGACCCGCAGCATGATTTAGAGCGTGTAAAGAAACCGGAGTGGATCATCCTGATAGGAGTCTGCACTCACCTCGGCTGTGTCCCCATTGCCAACGCAGGCGATTATGGTGGCTATTACTGCCCCTGCCACGGGTCTCACTATGATGCCTCTGGCAGGATCAGGAAGGGGCCTGCGCCCCTCAACCTTGAAGTCCCCACCTACGAGTTCACCAGTGATGATGTAGTGGTAGTTGGCTAGATACTTGGACCCAAGTCCCGGGCTTCCTCCTGTCCTCACGTCACCTCAGGAGAGTTTCGAGGAAGCCTAGTGTACTTCCAAGTTGGTTGATGTGCCGTATTTGAATTGTTGACAATGTATTTGCATACATTAATGTGAGGTAAATTGAAAGTCATGTCGAATCCTTCCAAGCATTCACTTAATAAAGCCACTGTTAAATATTAAGCTTAATCACAGACGAGAAAGCTACAATGTCTTTGGTAGCTCATTCTAATTAAAGATTACAGACTGGCACGCAAGACAGTTGTGAAATCTTTTGTATTTGCTTTCTTGGCCCAATTTCTGTTCCTGCTTTTTGTCAAGATCATAGATTCTATTATATGCTTTATTTAGGATGAGGCAAAAGTAGCTGGTCATTTCCAGGACTTGGGATCCCATGTTTTTCTTTTTTTCCCACAGGCTTGACTAAGTGCTTTGTTTTCTGTTCTGTACCCTGGATGATTTGTTGAATGCAGTCTTTGGGAAAGAGTTCTGATGGAGATGATGTTTTCTCTGGGGGCTTTCCTCCATGTTTGGCTAGTTGGTATCTGCCTATGGCCTTTTTTCTTCCTCTTTTGTACTGGTACTGGAGCTTGAATTCAGGACCTGAGTGTTGTCCTTTAGCTTTTTCTCTCAAGGATTGCATACTACCACTTGAGCCACAGCTTTACTTCCAGTTCCTTCCCCCCTCTTCCTCCTCTTCCTTCTCTCCCTCTCCCCAAGGAGATAAGTCTCATGGAGTTTCCTACCTGGGGTGGCTTTGAACTGTGATCATGAGCTATCAACCTTCTGAGTAGCTAGGATTATAGATGTGAGTCACTGGCACCCAGCAAGGCCAAGATTTTTGTTTTTTTTCTTTTGTATCCCTCAATAATGTACTTTTAGTTTTTTAAAAGGCAATGATGATCCAGGCCAGCCTGGGCAATCTGGTGAGACCCTTTCTTAAAACCACCAATGTGGCAATAATGGCATGATATTTGAGAGCAGCTTTCCAGGATGGAGGTGCAATTACTTCATGTGGCATTGTAGATGTTTATACCCCCGGTACACTTGGAGCTGCTTGGTCAAGACAAAAGGGGCAGCTGTGACTATACTGGCCCTGTGAAAATAATTCTACTGGGATTGTTCCTGTAGTAGTGGCTTTTTGAGTTTTTCCCCCCAGTTGGGACTTGGATCGTCTTTGCATGAGGCAATGAGGTGGACGCAGGAGAGCATGTCATAATTGCCTCCTGCCTGGATGCATGACCTGGCTTAAGTTACAGTTAGCACAGGTGAGGCAGGACCAAGGTGTGCTGAGCCCCCAGCACAAGGAAGGTGTTTAGCAACACAGCTACCTTTGATAGACTTGTCTTGGCTGTTTGGAGCTAGGTCAATGGTGCAAGTCCTCTAGTGTGGGTCCCTCTTGTGAGTGAGCGATTATGAAAGCAAACTAGATTGATGGTTGCTTTTGTCTGAAGGAACTTGACCTTGGATGCAATGCCCTAGTCTTCAAATTATCAGCAGCTAGGTGTTTGTATGAGAAAAGAAGACACCACAGTTTTTATTCTAGAAGTTAAGTTGGTTGTGTTATTTGGTGGGGGTATATTTTATATTCTGTCTCCAGATAGTAGAGTATTACTAGTATTGGGGGATGGTGGCAGAATTGTGAGTGACAGGTATACATGCTAAAATTACCTTGCCAAAAATTGTCAGGTCTACTGGCTTGTGCCATTATTCCATTTCTGTCTTTCTGCTGGTTAATTGGAGATACAAGTCTCACAGACTCTCATGCCTAGGCTGACGTTGAACCCTAATCCTCAGATCTCAGCCTCCTGAATAGCTAGGTTTACAGGTGTGAGCTACCAGGTGACAGTTGGTACCCCTTGTATATATTCTATTTGCTCCCTTCTGCTTCCCTCCTGCCAGTGATGTCCTGACAGTTCATGTTGTGAGGAAGAGCTACGATTGTTAGGAATCTACATGGCAGTGGAGGGTAGATAGGAAGCTAACATGTCCCTAAGTATTACATCACAGGCATTTTGAGTTGGGATTGCCATATCTGGTCTTCAGTGATATTTTACTGATAGGGTACTGTTAACAGTAACAGTCATCTTTGAGAGGAAGGCTTTGTTCTCCAAGTGGCAGGGCGTGATACTGACTTGTGTGGAAGCCCAGGTATTAGGGGAAAGTGACAGAGGAAGTCTGGCCAGTTGGCAATCTGATAGCAGATCACTGTTAGACTGCTGTTTACTGGAAATCATTCTTGGGGCAAGCTGGAGCCCAAGATTTTCATTATGCTTTAGTGTTAAAGATGATGAGCTCTTTGAAGAATTTGAAGTACTTGTTTAAAAGAAAAATTTATTTTGGTCTTTTTTGTTTTGTGCCAGAACAGGGGTTTGAATCCAGGGCTTCGGCACTGTCCCTTAGCTTTTTCTACTCTTAGACTTTTGCTCTAGCACTTGAGCCACACCTCCACTTCTAATGCTTTGGTCTTTACCTTTGTAAAGACCTGTTCTGAGTATATAAAGGACACTTTCCATTTGCTTATTTGTGACTAGGCATCCAAATAGGCTTTAAGCATATTCATTTTTCTAAACAGTGGGAGCATTCTATTTGAATGTCTCATCTGGTTTTTATGTTTTTAACCTGAAATAAATGTCATTATTTTCCCAGAATGTTATTGCTTGGCCCAGTGCTTTTGCACAAGCTTTGTTACTGCCCTATGTTAATGAGGGCCCTTTGGTCACTTGTCTGAATTGTCCATCCTTATGAAGCAACTGTGTGCAGGTGTCATGGAAACACTGTAAGGAAAGGAAGTCATCTGTTTCCCATAAACCCATTGGTTCACTGCCATTGCTGGCCTACCTTGTAGCCTACCTGGGGAAGCCAAAACCTGTGTCTCCCTGAAATTTTGTTCAGTTATGAGTGAGACAGGTGCATATACTAAAATTTTGTTGCTCCATTATTTCCTCTTCCTGGGCCCAAGTCAGGCCCCAAACCTCATTCTAACCTTAATAAGTCCATCACTCTCTGTCATCTGTAACATTCTAATTTTCTCCAAATTGTTCAGCATTGAGTTCTACTAAGCTAATCTCAAATCTCAAAAAATTTTACCAGGTAATGTTGGTATTCCTGATATAGAGGAGGAAAAGTAAGACACAGATGTTGCTTGCTAGTGGAGCCATCACTATGATAACATAAAGAATGGAGGACAAGATGGCCTTACTGCAATAGACCATGTAAGAATTGGCCATTTTTAAGGGCTACTGCAGTAAGATTCCAAGCATTTATTCTAATATTTTCCCCGTAAAAATCTGCTGTACAGCTGGGCACTAGTGCCTGTAATCCTCAAGAAAAAAGTCCTGGTGAGACTTTTATCTCCAAGTAACCATTCAAAAACTGGAAGTGGTGCTGTGGCTCAAGTGGCAGAGTGCTAACCTTGAGCACAAGCTCAGGAACAGCATCCCAGGACAGTTCAAGCCCCACAACCAAACCCCCCCCCCCAAAAAAAAAAAAAAAAGAAAAAAAAATCTGTATTAAGTTAGATGCTGGTGGCTTAGCCTCAAATCCTACCTCCTTAAGAGGCTGAGATCTGAGAATCTTGGTTCAAAGCCAACCTGAGCAGGAAAGTCTGTGAGACTCTTAACTCTGAAAAAGCCAGAAGTGGAGGTGTGGCTTAGTGGTAGAGTGTTAGCCTTGAGTAGAAGGGCCAACCTGAGCATGAGGCCCTGAATTCAAGGGGAAGGAAGGAAAGGGAGAGGGAAGGGAAAGAGAAATAAAAAAAAACAAAACAGCTTTCAGCCCAGAATGAATGAAACACATTAGCTTTTATTCTTAAATGATTTGCCCTTTAAAAATACTTTTCATTCCTTACTCTTAGCAAATATTTTTTCACAAATAAGGATCTTAACTCAGATGATTGTAAATGTTGACACAATTTTAGGGTAATAGCTGTTCAAAAAAAGGTATAAACACATTTTTACTTTTACTTTTCTTGAATGAGATTTTCAGTTCACTGCTGTACCAGTTTTGTGTTCATTTTGGAGGCATTTGACAAAGATATGGCTGAAGTCATTCCCAAAGTTAATTGTCATCCTAAGTTTCAGCCCATTGATTTCTGATCTATAATTATAAGCAGTTCCAAAAGCAAGCACTTAAATGGTCTTCGGTAACATGTTTAGGCCTCCTCTGAGTATCTGGACTAGAAACCATCTTAAGCTCATACTGCTAGCAGCACCAAGCTGAAAACATTCTCAACCTCCAGTAAATAGTGCAGAGTATTGAAAAAGCCTTCCTACCTCTGAGGCTGTATCGGTTCACAGGCTGAATGCTGTATTTTATCCCCTCGAGATGTTCCTTCCTCAGTCTCTGGCTGGAAAATGAACAGTATTCTCAGTTATCTCAGGGAGGTAGATGGATGAGGCACTTAGAAGTTTAGGTTTGAAGGTGTATAGGGCTTGTGTTTGTGCGTGCATGTGTGCGCTTGCGCTGGGGCTTGAACTCTGGCTGTCCTGTAGCTTTTTCCCTCAAGACTGGCTCTCTATCACTTGAGCCTCTTGGCTTTTTGCTGATCAATTGCAGGTTAGAGTTTCATGGACTTTCCTGCTCAGGCTGGCCTTTTTTTTTTTTTTTTTGGTCTGTCGTGGGGCTTGAACTCTGGGCCTGGGCACTGTCCCTCAATTCAAGGCTAGTGCTCTACCACTTGAGCCACAGTGCCACTTCCTGTTTTCGGAGTGGTTTATTGGAGATAGGAGTCTCACGGACTTTTCCTGCCCTGGCTGGCTTTCAGCCGTGATCCTCAGATCTCAGCCTCCTGAGTAGCTAGGATTACAGGCCTGAACCACCAGCGTGGCTCTCAGGCTAGCTTTGAATCACGATCCTCAGATCTCAGCCTCCTTGAGCCAGATCTCCAATCTGGATGGCTTTTATAGTCTGAATTCAGATAGCATGTTAAAAAATAATCGCTATGATGTTGTCAGAGCTCCATTTCACTACATGCATTTGAATGTTGTAGGGCTAATGCACTTCTCACAGGTTTTGGGTGACATGTAAGTTGTATGTGCCTGTACTAGGGCTTGAACTTAGAGCCTGGGAGCTGTCCTTAGCTTTTTCTACTCAAGGCTGTCAGTCTTATCACTTGAGCCACACCTGCAGTTCTGGCTCTTTGGGGTTAATTGGAGATAACAGTCTCATGGACTTTGCTGCCCAGGCTGTCTTTGAACTGTGATCCTCAGATCTCAGCCTCCTGAGTAGCTAGGATGATAGGCATAAGCCACTAGTG